TTTTTTTTTTTTTTTTTTTTTTTTTTTTTTTTTTTTTTTTTTTTTGTTTTGTTAAAGTTGAGAAAGTTTCTACGTCAGTCTCTTCTGGAAAATAAGAGATAATTAACAAATGTATTTTTCTTATTGTCGAAATGTCTACAATTTTCAATTATGATTATCGCTCATCTGTTGAATTTATTATAAAGCAGTTTTTAAATTTTCCTCGTGTGGACATATACATTAAGCAAACAATTACACCGAATGTGTTATTTTAGTTAAAATTTTTTAAACTTTTTGACAGTTTAAATAGGATTACTCTAAGGTCACTCTGTTCCGGAGTCCTCTGAAGATCCCAAATAGAAAAAAAACTATTATCTACCAGTATGTAATAGATCCTCATGTAGTTGCCTGGGGAGAAAAAAGGCTCAAATGGATAAAAACAATTAAAAAAAAAAAGATAGATACTTGATAGTTGACAATTCACAAATTAGCATGAATTTCGTCAAATGTAACAACACGAGTCGGTGTTTTTAGAGATTTCGTTTCATTTTGAAAATCAAATATTTTTCCAGCTCAGTCAAATACGTGTCAAGAGGTTCACCATTTCCGAAATCTTTTTTCATCAACTCAAGTCCACACGATACAATAAGGAAATGTTTTTTAATTGCTCTGTTTTAAAATATTGTTGAAAAATTTGCATACTTGTGACTAAAAGCATTGCACAAGCTTGTTAAATCTTGCGAAACTAAACTCAACACTTGTTCTTTTTTGACGTTACTTCCCCAAGGACATTAACATAAGCTTTCATTGAGAAATTCTTGATAAATACTACCACTCGAAATTTCATTTAAAAAATAACACGAAACCATTATCATTATCATACAACGAACTATATCTCAGTGCTAGAAGTCGTTCGATGCTTCAAAAATTATAATTAACAATAACCCTTAGAAATAATTATTTCTACTGTAAGCTCATTCGGTTTTGAAAACCTCAACACTACGGTTCATTACATTTTTATATGTTAGCTGAGAGTAAATTTTTTTAATATCTTGTCTAATGTTTAAGTGTATGTATTTGTAGTTGATACGAAGAGTACATGCAACTGTACATGTATTCCAAGTGAGACAAAAGAAAGTAAAAACGTATTGATCTTGTGTGGATACAAGACAACATCTGTTTTTCAATATACAGTAAAAGCCCTATCACTTTTGGATTATGGAAACGAAAAAGTAGTACGATAGACATGATACAAGTATTGATTATAATAATTGCATACACGTTAAGTAACCAACGTTTTTTCTAAGGTATGTATCTACTGGACACTAATTCTAAATTTTTGTAAACATTTTTTGTGCCATCCACTTTTAAACAAACAATACAGTTAATTTCGAAAAATTAAAATGTACGGGTTGTATAATTTACGTGTGTAAAATAAAATATCCAACGGATTCTAATGTACGTTGTGAGTGTAAAAATAGAGTATTAATCTATTCTAAAGGTTTTTTATATACTACACATTTATAGTACACAATAATACTTTTGAAAATTTTATGTATAGAATGTCAACGTTTTTCAATAGTAGAATACAAAAAGTTTTTGCCATTTTCGTACTTTTTTAAAATTATTTTTGTGCATCCTAATTTGAAATCTGCAACCTTTTTATGATGATTACAAGTTTAGTATAAAATCTACAGTATTTCTATAAAATTTTTTTTAATAGAATAGTTTGCTACACAAAAAAGTTATATTTTAAATGGAGGGTTGACCTGCTTCCGAAACACGCTTAGATGAAATTTAAATTTTAAAAGTTCTAGCGAGAAAACAATATTACTTCTTTAACAAAAAATTATAAATAAACGTTGTTTTCATTCACTACTATTTTTTTTGTTCCCAGGATAACAACATGGTGTGTAACCACGTTTTCCAACAAAGCGCCATTTTGCAACTAATCTATACTGCTGACAAATTGAGAGTGTAGCAAGTGTTTAAATGGAAAAGCTTTGTAAGTAGAATCGATTGCTATAACAGAGTGATTACACATGAATGTGAAACTTTACCTCTACTCCAGGTGTGCAGGCATTTTTAGTTAAAATAATCGATCTAAAGACAACACTAGTGCATGAACATGGATGCAAAAATCATATATTTATTCCACCAATCCAAAACCGAGTCAACAAAATAATTTTAAAAACTATTGAGACACTCACATGAGTGAATATGATCATTCCGTCACCCCAGACCACAAACCTAGCACGATAATATTATATATATATATATAATAAAATGAATAGGATACGCTGCTCCTTATGTCCGGACGCTTCTAGTCAAAAAGACATTCTGGAGATACACAAGAGCTGCTACATAAACGAGGAATTCTTCATCCGCTCCACATGTTTAAAAAGGTCCAGACGGAAGAAAGATCTGGAAACAGACGAGACACCTTGCCGAGAGGATGGCCGTTCGGACGAAAATACCTTCCACTGTTTGCCAAACCAAAGCATGTTACGGAAAGAAATTTACGGCACGAAACTATATTCCTCAGACTTAAATACCTTTTGTGGCTCCCAGTATCAAGTATCGGGGAAATCTGTCGACCAAAAGACCGATTTTCAGCAGCACATTGGCTCCCATGAAATTCGGACAACAAAACTTTTGCTTTACGTCAATGATTCAGAAGCCCCCAAACGTAGCGGTGAGTTAGAGACACCCGAACTCTTTTATGCAGTTGAAAATTTCTTGCCTTGCACGGAGTTGGATGAAACATTTAGCCAAAAGAAAGATCTTGAGAGGCACGAGCGAGTCCAAACGAGTGAGAACTTATATCTCTGCTCCACGTGTGGTGAAACTTTCAGCCAAAAGAGAGATTTTAAGGAACACAAGCGAGTCCATATGAGGAACAATTCATATCTCTGCTCCACGTGTGGTGAAACTTTCAGCCAAAAGAGAGATTTTGAGGAGCACAAGCGAGTCCATATGAGTGAGAACTTATATCTTTGCTTCACGTGTGGTGAAACATTCAGCCAAGAGAGAGATTTTGAGGAGCACAATCGATCCCACATGAAGAACAATTCATATTTCTGCTCCACATGTGAAGAAAAATTCAGCCAAGAGAGAGATTTTGAGGAGCACAAGCGAGTCCATATGAGTGAAAACTCATGTCTCCATTCCAAGTGTAGAGGAACATGTAGCCAAAAGAGAGATTTTGAGGAGCACAAACGAGTCCACATGAGTGAAAACTCATGTCTCCATTCCAAGTGTAGAGGAACATGTAGCCAAAAGAGAAATTTTAAAGAGCACCAGCCTTACCTCCCACCCAAACAACCCCACTCGTGTAATTATTGCCCCCAATCTTTCAGTCAACTCGACGACTGCATGAGACATATGAGCTTACAGCATTTCTTCGGATGCGATATATGTGGAAAGTTTTTCAACCAAAAATACAAACTGGAAACACACATACGCAATGATCACAGTTACGGATCAGAGGTACAGGTCTGCGGTAATAAACGAAATGAAAGACAAAAATATCACGGAGGAACAATCCTTTATTTGTACCACACAAGAAAACACAGCTCACAGTCGTCCCAAAGTAATATACAACATGTTTATAATCCAAGTCAACTAGGGACGATCACACGCAACCAAAAATCCTTGGTCTGCTCCGCAAGTACAAAAAGTTTCGGTCCCAAGAACGAGGATTCCTCAACAAGAACTTGTAGTCATACCAATAATAGCAACAAAAAAACCTTTATCGAACGGGATGATGATAGTACTGATTCAGACTGGAGGATTCATTACTGTTCGATGTGTCCCGAAAATTTCGCCACAAAAAAAGATCTTACGGACCACGTGATGCAAAACCACAAAGTTGCAAAGTCGATTTGCTGCCTGATTTGTTCAAAAACTTTTAGTCAGAGGAACCAACTCACGGATCATATGAATGCCCACGGGTTTGATAAAGTTTTTGAGTGCCAAAGATGTGAAAAAATTTTTCCTTTTGAAAGGTGTCTCATCGACCATATGATTTACTTTCATAAGATCCCGAAAAAAGATACCTGTTTCGGTCAACCATAAATTTTTATCGAAAAAAGGCGAGTTGTTGCAGCCCAAGACGAATTTGATAAGCATGAAGAATCGGTAGTAGGAAGGCTGTGGAGGGAAAAACGAGTCGGAAAAGCCTTTGTGTGTAATTTGTCATGAAAAAAAAAAAAACAACGTCTGC